TCGTCTTCGGCGGCGGTACCTCCTACAGTTCCACGCCAGGGACGTCGGGGAGCAGCCGCGGTCTACGGGCGGGCGCTTCGCCTGAGCCCGTCTCTGCAGGGGACGTGGGGCGAGGGGGCCTGGCGAGGGGCGCGCCGGCTGTGCTCCCGCCCCGTCGGCGAGGGGCTGTGCGTCAGCCTCCCCAGACATCTGCTGACGAGCTTTTCCCGATGAGCTGGCCTTGCCTCCGCAGGCAGCCATATGGCCCCGCGTTCTGCGGTGGGGCCCGGCGACGCGTTCCGAGCTCCAGGCTCTGCGTTGCAGGGAAATTTCCTACGAGCAGGTTTCTGGCACTTTCTGCAGCGCACCTCTGACCTGCGCTGAGCAAAAGGGGATGCAGGAACCCTCCAGGAGGTTTTTGGAGAGCTCCTCCTCCCAGCTGGACGGTTCATCACTGCAAAGACCCCAGGACTTCCCTCCACCAGCCTGTGGCCAGCAGCCAGCTGGTGCAAACGGTGCTTTTTCCCCTCTGGCTTTCCCTGGCCGTGTGCGTGGCTTAGGGTTTGTTTCCAAGAAGTAATCACTGAAATAAAAAGCCCAGGCTAAAAATGCTGCTTGCTGCTTTTTGCTGTAATTTCTTTTGTGTTCTTTTCCTAATCTTTATTTGGCAACTCTTCTCCTGAAAGGTTCTCACACTTCTGTAACTCCTAAAGGAGCACCACCTCATTTGGGGGCGTGGGCCAAAAGGCATTGCAGCACAGAACGAGCGGAGCAGATAAAGAACCGTGCATCTCGTTTGCACCCCTTGGACAAAACCCAGCAGCAGAAAACGGATATCGCGGAAACAGGGAGCTGAGAGCGCTGTGAAGAAACCAGCTCCTCCGCTCCCCCGGGCAAACGCGCCCCGGCTGCGCCTCGGCAGCATTGCCGTGGCGGGGCCATGAACGTCTCTGCATGGCAAATTCCTGGTTTTGGCCAGGCCGCGCGCTCCGGACTGTCGGTCGCCCAGGGCCAAGCCTTGCTACGTCCCTTGTGACTTACTAGAACAGTTGGTAATAATTAGCCATGCTTAACGAGGGGCCAGAGTCAAGAGCACATGAGCCGGGGTCGCTGGGAGCGAATCCATCGCGTGAGGGCAAACAAGCGCAACCCCTGGGTCTCACGGGTGGGGACAGGCTCCAGCCCGGGGGACCTTTGAGCCGGACCCCAGACTCCCAGCCCCCCTCCGCTGGCCCTGAGTCTTCTGGACGGTGCCAGCACCTGCGGGGGCTGGGAGCAGGCCTGACTGACAGAGGCAAAAAGCATCACATCCTCCCATCACCCGCGCTCCTCTGAGCTGCCCCAGGCTCCGGGGGTGCGTGTTAACCCCCTCTCCTGCCCGCCCTGTCGCAGTTCTGGCTCCAGCTGGGCTTTAGACCGGATTTCATCCCTGCGTGTCCGTGCGGTGATGGTCCGTCCTCTCCTCCCTGCTCCGTGCCCGCTCTCCTTCTCCATGCCCAGCCAAGCCTGCCTGCTGCAGCTCCCGCCGCTGCGCAACAGCCCGGCAAGGCTTCTCCAAGCTCAGCCCGGGCACCGTCCCTTAGCAGTGACCCCAGCCCGACGTCCCCTCTGCCAGTGGGACAAGGCCACCGCTGCCAGCCTCCAGCCCTGCCCTGCACCTGCCGTCACGCCAGGGCATCACCACCGCTGCCAGCCTCGAGCTGCAGCCCTGCTCCCACGGTCGCACCAGGGCATCACCACCGATGCCAGCCGGGCACCTCGTGGGTGCCAGCACGGTGCTGTCCCCAAAGCTCCCAGAGGACCAGGGCCCAGGGGACTCGCAGCTCTGCAAGCGACGGGAGGCTGAGGCCCACTCGAGTGAGATGATTTACGCGTTTACCTTCCCTTAGGAGCCGCATCGCTGGCAACGCGTCCAGGCAGGCGGGCATGGGAGCCAGGGGGGCTGGATCGGGGGGGTAAGAGGTGTTGGAGGAAAGGCAGCCCCCCCCCATGCCAGCCTGGGGGTGCGCGGCTGGGGCT